TCATGAAAACGTTTGCTTGCGAGTACACATATCCCTTGTTTTATTTATTTGAATAAACAATTTTACACACGGAGGTGGTACTCTGTTCCCTGATACGTATTCCCCTGATTTAATAAACAATCTTACACACGGAGGTACTCTGTTCCCTTTTGTTTTCTATGTTTGTGGTGGAAACCCCAGAGCCTTGGATGAGCAATCCCTCAAGTCTGTGAAAAAATGTGATAAACTGTTGAAAATTTTGATTATACAACAGCAAGTGGATCATTCAGCTGGCAGCCAATAGCACCAAGAAAACTGTTTGACATCTGTAAAAATAAGTCAAGGCAACTGGACTTGCTGTATTTTTCTTGACGACGTCTTCAAGAAAAATTGCCTTGACTTATTTTTACAGATATATCAATACTAAAGGGAAAACCAGATTTTAGAGTAGCATATGCTCCCATGCAGATAACATCTTTGTCAGGGAAGGCCTTGCATATTTCAGCAGGGGACAATGCTAAACCACATACTGCATCTATGACAACAGCATGGCTTCATAGTGGAAGAGTCCGACTGCCTAACTGGCCTGCCTGCAATCCAGACCTTTCACCAACTATCAATATTTGGCACATCTTGAAATTAAAAATACAACAAAAAAGACCCAGGACTGTTGAGCAGTTAGAATCAGGCAAGAATGGGACATTACTCTCCCAAAATTCCAGCAACTAGTCTCCTCAGTTCCCAGACATTTACAGAGTGTTGTTAAAAGAAGAGGGGATGCTACACCGTGGTAAATATGACCCTGTCTCAACTTTTTTGAGAAGTGTTGCTGCCATCAATTTCAATTTTTTTTCTTAAAATGGTCAATTTTCTCAATTTAAACCTTTGATATGTTTTCTATTTTCTATTGTGAATAAAATATGAGTTTATGAGATGTGCAAATCTTTGCATTGTTTTTAAGTAGATTTCACACAGCATTCTAACGTTTTTGGAATTGGAGTTATAAACAAAAGGCATAGGAAATACACTGGAGTGTTTGAAATCAATGTTATTTAAACACATTCCCTGTAATGTGTGCAGCTCATAGCATCATGGCAATCAAGGAAACTGTGAAGCCGACAGCATCCTAGCAACCAATGATGCTGCGGTCCAACAATGTTCTCTCAACCAATGGAACTGTGGTCTGACAGTGTCCTAACAACCACTGGCAAGCAAAGACACTGTGATCCAACAGCATCCTAGCAGCCAAAGATGCTTAGGTCAAACAACATCCTAGCAGCCAAAGAGGCTGTTGGCCATCAGATTCCTACCAATCAATGACACTGTGGGCCAACAGCATCCGAGCAACCAGTGATGGGGTGGGAGGGGGTTAAATGGGGAAGCACATCCCTCCTTACTTCAAAATTACATTGATCTTAATTACCTCTAATTTTCTTAACTCCAAAATGGTAGCATTTGTTAGTTTGCCAAGCCCATAGCAACAATTCACAAAAATTTTGCAAAAAGGAACTTTGTGGATTTGTTCTATGCATAGATATTAGCCATGGAAATGTCACAAACATTTTATAAATTTGGTAAAGAGTTCCAGATACAGCCATAAGCAGGGCCGGTGCTTTGTTATTTTGTGCCCTAGTCAAGACCAGCTACTTGCACCCCCTAATTCCCCCATGTGGCCCCATTCTCCTGCCGGTTAGCTTTCACAGCCGACGGGTAGATGTAAGCAGCCAGGAGCAATAGCCAGACTGCTATTGGCTATTGTATTTGGAAATAGCCAATAGCAGACTGGCTATTAAAACCCCTCCCACTAAGCAGAGAAGCAGACCTGAGAGAGAAAGTTGTCTCTCAGTTCTGCTCCTCTGCTCAGTCAGTAGGTGCAATTTTAAATAGACCAGAGGGGGGCACAGTGTGTGGGGGGGTTAAGGTTGCGCCTAGGCAGCAGTGAGCCCTAGACGGCTGCCTAGTTTGCCTAGTGGCAGCACCGGCCCTGGCCATAATGCTAGAGTTGTGTCACAAAAGCCTTTATTGAATCACCCTATTATGATCCTATTACATTCCCTTGAACAATAAACATGACATATTAAACATTTAATATATGTAGCTTGCTTCTAGAGCAATAACCTTGAATAAGCTTAGATTCTAATGAATGAGATACAACCTATTCATACTTTTTTTTATAAATGGACTTTATGTACAGAACCATCATGATATTAGTCTAGGTAGTAGTCAGTAGAGTTGCTGGCTCACTATGAACTCTTTGCACAACTCTGGTAGTGGAATGTATTTGTATACAAACAAATACATTCTGAAAGGTTAAAAAGGACACCAAAAAATGATACACGTAATCCTTCTGCTAATCCCCAGTAAAAGGGTAATTTCTTTACTGACCACCAATGAAGGGGTCATTTCGCCAATAATCACCAGTGAAGGGGTCATTTCGCCACTGATCACCAGTGAAGGGGTCATTTCTCTATTAATCGCCAGTGAAGGGGTCATTTCTCTACTAATCGCCAGTGAAGGGGTCATTTCTCTACTAATCACTAGTGAAGGGTAATTTCTCCACTGATCACCAGTGAAAGGGTAATTTCTCTACTAGTGAAGGGGTAATGTCTCTACTAATCACCAGTGAAGGGGTCATTTCTCTACTAATCACTAGTGAAGGGTCATTTCTCTACTAATCACCAGTGAAGGGGTCATTTCTCTACTAATCACTAGTGAAGGGGTCATTTCTCCACTGACCACCAATAAAGGGGTAATTTCTCTACTGACCACCGTGAAGGAGTCATTGCTCTACTAATCACCGGTGACAGGGTAATTTCTCTACTGGACACTAGTGAAGGGGTCATTTCTCTACTGACCACCAGTGAAGGGATCATTTATTTACTATTTACCCGTGCAGGGGTCATTTCTCTACTAATCCCCAGTAAAAGGGTAATTTCTTTACTGACCACCAATGAAGGGGTCATTTCGCCACTAATCACCAGTGAAGGTGTCATTTCGCCACTGATCACCAGTGAAGGGGTCATTTCTCTACTAATCGCCAGTGAAGGGGTAATTTCTCTACTAATCGCCAGTGAAGGGGTCATTTCTCCACTGGCCACCAGTGAAGGGGTAATTTCTCTACTAATCACTAGTGAAGGGTAATTTCTCCACTGATCACCAGTGAAAGGGTCATTTCTCTACTAATCACTAGTGAAGGGGTCATTTCTCTACTAATCACCAGTGAAGAGGTCATTTCTCTACTAATCACTAGTGAAGGGGTCATTTCTCTACTAATCACCAGTGAAGAGGTCATTTCTCTACTAATCACTAGTGAAGGGGTCATTTCTCTACTAATCACCAGTGAAGAGGTCATTTCTCTACTAATCACTAGTGAAGGGGTCATTTCTCTACTAATCACCAATGTGAGTGAACACTACAATTTTCATGGTCCGCCTTTCTTTTCTGGCCAAAATCTCTGGGTGTCAAATACATTTAGTATGCCACATTTTTTATTCTCTTTTTATTCTTATGTCTCAACTTACTGTTCATGCTAATGTACTGTGAGCTGTAAATAAAGTTAGCAGGGGTTCCCTGAAGCCAGAAAGTCATGTCAAGGTTTCCTCCATATACAAAAGGTTGAGAAAGGCTGATGTGGGGTACGATAAAAGGGATAGGAAAAGAAACAAGTGCAACAGTAACGTTTGCAATACATAATTCCTCCACAAGAGGGAAGCATTGCACTCTAGTCTACACAGACATAAGCCCAGCAAAAAAGCTCCAAGAAATGGTCTTCAAAAGGATGGCCGCCACACCGTCTCTTATATAAATAAACGCATGACTCCGACTTAAGATTTAACAAGCTTATAGTTTAAATATAAATCGTTTAGTTAGTAGAATAGTTCAGTTGGTAACAGATCATTATTTAGTTTATATTACGCTCTTTCCGTACCTAGTCTCTGTATTGGAAACTAGCATGCCCCATACAAATATGGCCGCTTGGTGTCGAGGACCATTTGCGTAATTTCGGTGCCTTGTTTGGGTTGCTAGGAAACGGGACGCGTTCTGGCAGCCTGTGGTGTTAGGGGAGCAAAGAGGTAGGTTTATACCGTACGGTATGGCTGGTATCATAGCGATATGTGCTCTGCTATAGCTGAATTACTATGTACTGGGGAAGAGACCTTTCATATCTGTGATAGCATTAGAAATATGTTGTATGCGGCCCTGAGATGACAAGTGATGAGATGTCTACTCATACTAGACAGTTCTGGGCTGCACTCCAGCTTCGGTGGATGGTGGTCATAGTAACAGCGACAAATGGTGCCATGCAATACCAGAGTAGAAGCTCTGTATGATCTGTTTTGCGTTGCGTACGATCTGCATGTCACTCAGATTCTTCACATCAGCCTTACACCTGACACCTAGCAACCAGACAGGACTAGGGGCTCTGGGTGTGTGGGCACAATTGTTTGCTGCAATTGTAAACCCTGGCATAACTTTCCCCTTTTTAAAGTGGCACTAAACATAGGAGTTAAAACTTAAAATGTATTCTGTTAACAAAAATCTTATTTGTGTATCACTCCGCTGTAGATCGTGAAATCATCTCTGAATTCATGCCGACGTTGTCCTTCCTTCTGGAGGGTTGCTACTTTTGTTCCACATGGTCCATATGTGAGTTTAGTGTCACTTTAAACTGTTCCAAGTGGAAAACCACAGATCTGGCATTTACTTATCTGAAACCCTCTAAGCACAGTCACATTTCCCGAGCCCTGATGAAAGAAGATGTTATGTGGCCCCTGAAACGCGTTGGATGTTTTTTATCTGCTGTAAACCAATTTAATCATTAAAGGGTTGGGGACATTTTTTTGGCACTCTCATTAGACTACATATGCTTGGATTCTCAAAGAGGTTCTAAGACTGACAGAGGTTCATAAAGCGGTATGTACTTCTGTAAATATTAGAAACATTGAACTATAGGTTGTGTCTATAAATGTATGGATTAAATATGTAACAGTTTTTATCTTTTATCTCAGTAGACAGCACACAGCGTAAATGGATTCTGAATACCTAATGAGATGTTTAGGGAAATGTCTTGCAGAGGGATTGGCAGAGGTAGCAGAGAAAAGACCGGCGGACCCTATTCATTATCTGGCACATTGGATCTACAAATATAGGAGCAACGTAGATGAGTATGAAAAGGTAACTTTAAAACAGACCATCACTGCCCAAATACCGTTTACCTGCCTGCAATGCCTCCAATATAAAACGCAGATTGATTTTTTCATTTGTTTTGTCTAGTTCCGCTCCCCCCACCCTGGTCACCAGTCTTGCCAAGGCAAGAAGGAGGTATCCCTGCTCCCGCAGGCTCTTGAGATATCCCATCATATATCCCAGGAGGCTGCAGGAGCAGAGCCTTACAGCGGCTGGACCTGACCGCATATTCATCATTGGATGCTGGCTGTAGAACCTGGAAAGAGACCGCCAACTCCTGATGATGTCAGAGAAGATGGTGATGTGGGGACCGGGCTGTGCTCAGGCAGTTGAGAATGGCTGCAACTTTCATTACTCTTTGACCACTAACTTTCAGCTAACAAAAAGGGTTAACATAAGTATTTCATGTGTATACACGAGCAGTTATTGAGCAGTTATTATTGTCAGATTATTGCATAAGCCCATGACTAATTCCTGCAAAAGTGAAGCTGTTGTGTCAGCAAACATGTGCGTACTAGCATTATTAATACATTAAAGGCACCTGGTGGTTTTTAATAACAGCAGGTGCTGACAGTTTCCCAACATAGGGGCCTATTGAGCCCCACTACAGTCAATGAGTGTCTCTCAGCTGCACATCACTTTTTCTACGCTTCTTTCTGTTTAAGAATCATGTAGATCAGGGGTGCCCACAAGGTCGATCGCGATCTACCAGTCGATCGCGTAGCGATCACTGGTAGATCGCACTCTCCTCTCGCCGCTTCTCTGGATCCCCGCTGCTCTCCTCAGTGAAGGAACCGGCGGCGGGGGAGGGCGGAGGACGGAGCCGCTGTCACAGAACTAATGCAGAGCGGTGAGGAGAGAGAGAGAGAGACGCTCGGCCAGGATCTGACAGCCGGCGCCTCTCTCTCCCCTCACCGCTCGTCCGTTCTGTCACAGCGGCTCCGACATGTAGGCGAGGGGCCTGTCTGCCGAGCCTGGCTGCGGTGCCATTGACTTCAATGCACCGCCACGCCCCCTTCCGCCCCTGAATGCAGGTGTTTTTTCGTTGGTAGATCTCAATGAGCTCGTCATTTGAAAAGTAGATCTCCAGACGAAAAATAGTGGGCGCCCCTGATGTAGATGATATTGAAAACAAGTACACATATTGATAAGACTTGGAGAGAGAGTGACACTTTTCTTATGGCCTTCATGGGAGGGTGTGCAGATACAAAATACGGTGTGAATCACATCACATTTATAGCTCTTCACATAACTCAACGTTCTGGCTGGTGTCCTTTGGCTATGTTTATAATTTGTGTAGTGAAGATTGCTAATGTATCGCCCTTTACTCAAGATTCACACCTTTACATCTGCATTTTTCAGCGTTTCAGTGTATTTTTGATGCGCAGTTTTCAGGTGCTGCCATAGAAGTCTATAGGGCCACAATAGTCCATTAATGCACCAAAAAAGCACCAGTACATTTTGTTCTCCAGATGAATGGCAACACCATCTGGAGAAAAACATACAGGCAGCGCAACATACAGGTGTGAATGGGCCCCATAGAAAATATTGATATTCCACTTGTGCGCTGTCATGCGTTGACCAATATTAAAGTTGATTTCCACCTTTGTGAGCAATTAGCATTTTTTTGTGGTAATGAAGAGGTGCAGTGATGTTGTATACATGTGCACATTTTCATGACTCGCATTGCAAGCTTTCTTCATTTTTTTATGAAGGTTTTATTAGGCCTGAAGCCTACAAATTCAACATTTTCACCAAAGGAAATTCAGTCTGACACCAGAGTGTCAGACTGTAATCAGCTGCCCCCCCTGTCGCCCATTGTAACATGATCGGTAAACACCAGGTCTGCCTTTACACACAATACACTGTCCGGGGGGGATGGGGGAAGAGATATACACACATTGCTTGCACAGCACAGAGACAACCATTTCCATAAGGATATGAAGAGGAAAGCTAACAAAAAATGTAAGTTTCTGTTTTCATATACAGCAACTGCATATCCCTGCTTCATTTACATTCGGTGTACATTACATCGTTAGTTAGGTTAAAAAAAGACACAAGTCCATCGAGTTCAACCTATAGAGATACGAATGCTGGGGTATGTTTTAAAAATACCTCTGCAAAGGTGGAAACAGGCTTTAAATCATATAGATGTGGATGGGGATTAAGCCCTGTTAACATATGAGCGTAGGTGCTTTCAGGTGATTTTGAAGTTTGTTTATTTTTTGCATTGCTTTTCATGCTTTTTTGTGCCTTTTCTAAGCTCGAGCATTGTGTAAGCCAATGAAAAGTTAGTTGCTAGGAAGTGGAGAAATCACATGAAAAATGTGCATTGTGGCCACTTTCCAAGCATTTTTTATGTGCTCCCATTGAAGTCTGTGAGGCCCAAAATGCGCGATTCCATCCAAAAAAAGCTCATGCACTTTTTCAAGCATTAAGCACATTGAGGAGTGAATGTGCACCATTGAAAATAATGGGATTTTTCATGATGAGTGTTGTCAGGCTTCGGGAAATGCACAACAAAACGTTCAGAGTTGGAATATAAATGGGACCCCCTAACATCTGGCAGGATGTCTGTCATTGATATATACTGTAATGTACTTAATTCTGCCTCTTTTTACGTTAGTGCATTTTTCAATTTATATTTTCAAAGAGAAAACTGGAAAGGGAAGAGCTGGAAAAAGAAAAGGTAGAAGCTCGCAAAGAGCTTGAGATGATTGAAAGACTAAAGGAAGAAGAAATTTTGATTCAACAGAACCTTGAAGAACAGAAGGTAGGTTTTGGTAAAAGCTTTTCTTTCTTTAAGTTTTGGATAGAGTGGAGAAGGTTTAGAAGATCTGTGTCCACATTGGAGAAACTTCCCTTCACTTCCTGTTGTGGTGACAGGCGTCATAGGGACAGGAAATGACAGAGTAATCTCTGTAATGGAAACAAATACATACAAAAGTCTACCCTTTATAATGTCCCTAAAGTGGACCTTCACACTGACCCAAAACTATGTTACAACTATACCCTCTCCCGCCCTCCCCCTCCACAACATGAAAATCCCCCCTTTTTTGTTTACTCCCCCTCTTTTTTTATTTTTCATGTCAGCCACCAATAAACTCCTTCCCATCCCCCCTTCCTCCATTCTTGTCTAAGCAGAATGACATGCTCTGCTCCTAGTACCTCCTGGAATATGCATGTCACGGAGGCATTGGCTTCCATGTGGCAGACATAGAATGAGGATGGGACAGCTGGCTCCCGATGACATCAGAGAAGAAGATGGCGGACCCGGCGTGTGACAGCAGAACGCAGATCAGCACAACGCTGCAGTCGCTGGGCAGGTGAGTATGTGATTCAAGGACAACCCATTTAAAAAACAATGGAATATGGAGTTCCTCTTTACCAATTAACCTCTTTCCTAAAACTTAACTGCTAACCCTAATCCCCGGTGAGTAACCTGACCCCTAAAAATGAGCCGTTTGGCCCCCCCTCCCCAATACTCAACCTAAAGGACAAGGATATCAATATGATGGTTGCTAACAGCTCGAATTTTGTTACCTCTAGCTTTTGTGCATGAGAGTATGGGGGAATTTTTTTGTTTTTATTAATCTTTTTGTTTTTTTAATATATTTGCGCTAACAAATAACCATCAAATCGATTTCTTTTGCAGAAAAAGGATTCTGAAGAGCAACCCCTAAAAACCATAGCCGAACTTACAGAGAAATTTGGTGCACCAAATTTACCTACAGTAGAAGAGACGGATGAAAGTCTGGCAACGGTATGTGCTGTTTAAGGAAAATCGATTTGTAAATCATTGTTACTTTGCTAGACTTGGATTCAATAATGGGAATCAGAATATGGCCAAGTTTCAGCCAAGCAAAACAATTGGACTGACTTTTGAATGGCACAGTCTCTAAATTATCAATGTTTACCTACTTCTATATAATCCTGTATTCATTTTCTTTCCAGTCTAACAACAAAAAACTCATATCCTTAAAGGAGAACTATGGGGTTAGGGCTTTTCCCCATAGTTCTCCTGAGGGTAACGGGAGGACACAAACTAGCGTCCTCCCGTCGCCCAAAGCTCAGTATACCGCGAGCTACAGCTCGCGGTATACTGAGACGCTGCAGCCGGAACGGATCCTGACAATTGTGCCGGGATCCACCCAGCTGCGTGAGTGACAGCTGGCTCTGCCTATCTAGAGGCAGAGCCAGCTGTACCGGCCCCCTCCCCCGTCAGTTCCGCCAGTCAGCGCTGGAGGATCGGACAGGGGAGGTGGGAATCCAGCCCCTCCCCTGTCACTGCTCTCTGCACGGATAGATCGAGAGGTGAGCGAGCGCCGGTATGTGTTCGCTCACTTCCCGATCTACTGAGCCGACCTGTGACAGTTTCATTGTCACAGGTCGGCTAGAACTATGAGGATGAGTGAAAAATCACTTCCCTCATAATTCTCCTTTAAGAACATCTGCTTGTTCATTATGCATAACACATATTTAAAACATGATTGGCCATACACTGGTTGATTTTCATAAGGAAATTCAACCAAACAAATCTCATCAGAACATTTGATAATACGATCAGAGACCTGTAGAATGTCATTCGAAATGTTGTTTGATTTAACTTTCAATTTTGGAATGAATGGAGTTTCCTGAAGGAAAACCGCATTCACTGTTACAATCCCATTTGTTCAAGAAAATGTTTCCATCCTGCTCCTTCGATTTTTTTTTTCCATCACTAAGGTCAAAAAGTAATCATCAATTTGACTCCATAAACTATTACAAAAGTGAATGAACATTCCCATTTTTTTTTAACCAAATTCTACTGGTATATGGCCAGCTTCAGTCACAAGTATTGCATCCAGCAGAATAATATCTCTGTTGCCTTAAATTATAATATATCAGGCCAGAGGTACCCTTGGCATTGCTTGTCCTGTTCCAAGTACTAGTTCAGATCCACCATATTCAGGATTATTCAGTTTAATATTAGTTCCCACATTTACTATGGGTTATTTTGCTTTTTTCTCATTGCTCTGCAATTGAATAGGCATAATTGGCCTGAATCACAAGGTCTGTGTAGGGAGGTTGCTCCATTACTGTACTGTACTGTCTCTGTACAATTTGTAGGATATTTTCTAAAGGTGTTTTACCCATTGGGGCTTATATATGAAAAAGTATAGTAACAAGAAATATGTTGCAGTCTATAGCAACCACTTGGTTTTCAAATGTCATGCATATGCCTTTTGGGGCCCATTCATATCTTTCTGGTCCATTGTGGTGTGAAAGCACATTGCATTAACCCTTTTGCTGCCAAGCCCTCCAGAGCATTTTGTACCTCAGCTGGCCACACCATTTTTGCAATCTTTCCCATTGATTTGATTTTCAGCTAGCTAGCGTTTGTAAAAGACCCCCCAAACCATATATTTTCTGAAAGCACAGGCCCGGTAGAATAAAAAGATGGTGCTACTAAATTTGTAGGCCCTGCAATAATTGCGCAAATGTTTCTCAATTTAATATTAAACCGATAAAAATACACAATTCAATTGATAAAGCACACTAAAATCAGTATCAGTGCACAAAAAATATATATTTTCTGACTAAATCTAAAAGATAAAGCCTTATTGAGTTAATAAATAACAAATAATTTTAAATTGCGCCTTTTTGCAAAAAGTTTAAAAAAATGAAGCAACGCAAAACTGTAAATAAGCGACTTATGTTAAAAATCGTTTTTGCGATGTGTTTGGGTTGTGATAAAATGATACAGGCGTATAATTAATTGCAACACAAGGTATCACAGTGCACGGCAATGCATCACACAGCTTTGCCATGCACTGCCCCAGTTAAATTAATGTTTTTTTAAAAAGAAAAAAAATATATAATGCACTGCGATGCATTCTAACAACGCACTGCAGCACATGTGGATGGCGTACACCACAATATGGTGCACGTGTATGTTATGTGTGTTTGGGGGAAGGGGGGGTAGTGTTTTTTTTTTTTAATTTATTTATTTTTTACAAATGTTTTATTTATTTATTTTTTTCTTACTGTTGGGGGGGCTACGGTGAAAAAAAAGACCCCTAACATTTCCCTTTTGAAATATAAAAAGAAATTTGGGACGCAGAGTGCTCAATTTCTTTTTCTGCAGCCTCTGTTCTAAATGAATTCCCATTCATTCAGAAACTGGTGATAGAAAAATATTTACTATCACCAGTTTCTGAATGGGGAGAAGCCTCTTTAGTGTGTGCTACTCCCCATTCAGAAATGCATGAATAGTACTATGTGTCCCCGGTTATTTACAAACATTGGAGTGATCAGATGATCACTCCACTGTTTGTCCTTCACACAGAGGATTGTTAATATCACTGATATTTACCGATCCTCCACTCGGCCACGCACACAGCTGCTATCATCGTGAAACTGACAGGATGACAGCGGCTCCTCTCTACTCCCCGCTGGGCTGCTCTCTCATGCCGCTCGATCATCATGATCTACACCGAGTATGAAAAGTCTGTAAATAGAAAGGGAACCATCTAATGTACGCAAGAACTACAATGAGTATGCCAATGTGGATGGCTTTCTTTCAAACCTGTTATAAAAATGATTGCATTTACTTTTGTACTCAGGGTGGGAGACAGAAAGACATAGAGGCAGCAACTGAGGTGGAAATGGGTGAAAAAAAAGCAGATGAAGACCAGCTAAAGAGTGGCACAGTAGACAGTGAGGAAATCTCTGAGACACCTGCTTTGGAAACAGAACATGGAGAGGTTTTGGAAGCTTCTGTGAGTGTTGAGGTGCCATCAGAAGAAAATGCCCCAGCCTCGGATGCAGCCAACACAATTATAGGGCAAAATGAAACGGAGGAGAAAGAACCAGTGGCTGATACAGAAAAACATGAAGAGTGACATTATTGCAGTAACTTGTGTTAGAATATGTCTTCTTCACATATCTTTCTAGGAGTTCTAGAGTCACCTTTCTGACCTGCACTGGAATGTAATTGAGACACTTTCAAATGCACTGAATTGTATATCAAGCTCTAATGTCCTTACTGATATTTTGGAGTATTAAATGTATTAAATATAGTTCCTGCCTTTGCTTACTTTTTTCAGATGTTGCTAGTTCCCTGGCTTCTTGATTTGGAAATCAAATTAGAAGAGTGTCAAACAAATGTCTCAGGAGTCCAAAAAAAATACATTTTCGAATGCTTGAGACATTTGTTTGGTGCTCTTTTCTTATTTGATTACTTCAGTTATTGGATTTTTCAAGTCGAGTGACCCCTATACTGTGGAGAGCTGCCGAACTCTGGCAATTGTGGGCCTTGCTTAAGAATTCTTTTTGTACATGCAACAGTTTATGACAGATTGACCTCAGAGTCAATCACCATCTATTTTAATTTGATCTAGATTGAATGTACAAAGTTTAATTGTCAACATTCATGGGTGATTTCCAATTGATTTAAGGAAATCACCCATGTGAATAAAGGACTATTTTACCTTTGTGCAATTGTCCTTTTAATCAATTACCCAACTCCTTCAATGCTTCCCACTAAGACAAAGGCTTACCTTCCTTCTTGATCCAGTGATCTTCACAGTGCAACCACACAGCCTTTTTTCCTGAAAATGGGTGCTTTGTTTTGTGCATGCATGCCAAAGCCCCATTCCTATAGGAGGATTACACTCCAACTGACTGATGGAGCCTTTCATCAGAATGACTTTTCCATAGCTATAAATGGGAACAAAAATATGAAGTAAAAAATAAGTCAAGGCAACTGGACTTCCTGTATTTTTCTTGAAGACGTATCACTGGTCATCCAACCAGCTTTCTCAATTTAGAATGACTTATACAAAATATTTTCTGGGAATAAATAGGGTGAATGTTGCTCCAATCCACATAATCTGTTAGTCGCAACCAGGTGTTGAATGCATTTGCATAATTGAAGTCTAGAAGGTGTTATTAATCTGCCCAGAGAGAGGTGTTAAAACAGCATTGTATGTGGCAGACATTAGATGTCCCCCCCACACCTCTAATCAAGCTTGGCTTCTCCATTTTCCATAAATGGCCTCTTTCACACCTCTTTTAAACCAGTACTCCTCCCTGTCTAGGATGTGTACTTGACTGTCTTCACAGGAGTGGCCTTTTTCCTTTTAGATGTAGGTACACTGCCGAATCCTGACCAGAGGGTTTTGCTCTTCTATGCTGTGCCATATGCTGGTGTAGCTGCTGTTTTGTTTCACCGACATACAATTCTGAGCACTCCTCACTGCACTGGACTGCATACACAATGTTGTTCCTCTTGTGTTTTAGCGTTGGGTCTTCTGGGTGAACCAGTTGTCGCCTCAGTGTATTCCTGGGTTTAAGCAGATAGGTATGTGATGTTTTTTTAAAAACCCTTCTGAGTTTCTCAGACACCCCAGCTACATATGGGATGACTACATTATTCTGTTTGTCATGCTTTTCACCCTCACTGTTGCTCTTGCCATTCTTTCCTCTCCAATTTTCTGTTTTGATAAGCCCAGTCTGGATACCCGCAGGTTTTAAGGGCCCCCCTGAGGTGTTTGAATTCCTTTGTATTGGCCTCTGTTCTGGTGGAATTTTCTATGCCCGGTGGTGTAGAGTCCTAAAGACTCCCAGTTTGTGGTCTAAAGGGTGGTGGGAGTCAAATAGCAGGTGCTGGTCTGTGTGTGTTAGTTTTCAGTAGACCTCTATTTTCAGCCTCCTTCCCTCATCTACTGTTACTTAACAATGCAAAAAAAGCCAGTTTGTTGTTTTGCATATTATCTTGATGTTATGATCCACTGAGTTGATATGGTCAGTGAAAGCCTGTAACTCTTGTTTGTGAATCTTAACCCAAGTGTCATCCACATATTGGAACCAATGACTACTTCCTCCATATACAGGTTCGCCATAGTAGGTGAAACCGGAGATCCCATGGCACAGCCATGTTTCTGCCTGTAGAACTTGTCCTTGTACTTGAAATAGGTGGTACTCAGGCAAAGATCCAAAAAGGCACACACTTGATCTGGGTTAAGTTCTGTTCTGCTGCCTAGGGTGTTGTCTAGTAGCAACCGTTTTCTCACTGTTCCAATTGCCTCTGTGGTGGGTATGCAGGTGAAGAGGGATGTGACATCATAGGATACCATTGTTTCTTCTCTGCCCAATATTAAGTTCTTGATTTTGGTTGTGAAATCCTGAGAGTCGTGTATGGGGTGTTGTGTATTTCCAACCAAAGGGGCAAGGACGTTATAAGTCACAGAGTTTATGCTGCTGACAATTGGCCTGTATCTTCGGAAGTCCATATATACACGGAGGGGATTCACCAGGGTTTGATACATAGCCCGATCAATGGCTTTGTCCTTTTCCAGCTGTTGAAGTAGATCTATAGCCTTCTTCTTATAACTACTGATTGGGTCCCTTCTTCCCTATCATCGTTGTCAGATGTATTAAGTACAACTGTGCATTTTCCCTTATCAGCAGGCATGATGGTGATACTCTTGTCTTTCTTCAGGGATGCGACTGCCCTCCTTTCTTGTGTAGTCAGGTTTGGCTGAGGTGGATATGGCACTGGCCAGGGCTGCAGACACTTTTAGGCGAAGTTGTTCAGCCTCACCCTGTGGCACTTTGTTACTGTGGATCGAGGCCTCAGTGGCTGAGATAATATCCACTACAGCAGTGGTTCTCAACTCGTGGGTCGCGACCCAAACAAGTTGTTTTGTGTAATAAATTAAAATGTTTCAGAACTGAAATCATTTTTGGGTCACGCCTTAATGACCAAGGAAACATGTGGGTCCCGAGGTTACACAGGTTGAGAACCACTGCTGTAGAGCATCTGTGGACAGCTCAAAACCATTTATAGACATTGTTATGGCTAATTGGCTAACTACTATTCAAAAAGACATTGGAAGCTGGGCAATGCAATAGAAGACATGTACCAATTCAGAAATCAAATGAAAAATACTATATAGCGGGAAGAAAGTATTTTCATGCGACTTCAAGGGCAAAATTGAAATTACACAAATCCTTTAAATAACATGTTTGGGTAATGCTACAATTTTACCGGACAGTCTCAGAGACAGCATACATTGGCAGCGCATATTTGGCTGCGGAATTGATTTTTTTTTCTTTTATGATTAGCTTAGCTAACATACAGCATCAGCATCCCAATATGATTAATTTCAGTTAGCATGTGGTAATAAAAAGACAATAAAAAATTAGGAAAAATTGGTGTGGGGTTCCCCTTAATATTTCAACCAGACCCTTATCCTGGGTGGCCAGGAAAGGGAGGGCAGTAAGTGAGCCCAGCCCCCTCCCCCTTCTTTCTCTATTAAACCAGGCAAAATGCCTTTCAACATTGGGGGTGTACCAGGGGGTGTACCATGTAACTAGAAAAAGTCTAGCAAGGTAGTACTAGGTACTACCTTTCAAAGTACCCTTGTTCTAATGCTGAGTAACAAGGGCCTCTTCCTCACCTCCAGTGCCCCAAAAAGGAGGTGGGGGTAATATGGGGGGACTTATGGAGGAATCTTATTATAAGGGGGCAACCACATTTCCGCCCTCTTCCAGGGGAATAAGTACAAGTGTACTGAATACTCCTCCTTACACATTCCCACAAAACGTTAATATTAAATAAACATGCATACCGCATTAAAAAATCCTTTAGATACACATTCTTACCTGTTTTTAAAATATAAATTGTATTAGTGTCCTCAAAAGAAATTCCACGTTAATTTTGGCATCTAGCAATGTAATCCATACCAATCACTGTGTCCATCAATATAAATCCAGAGTTAATCACGATGGCCCATTTCCTACTAATGTGTGCTCGCCTCACTCCCATCCCTAAATGACAAATTCCCAGCTGAACTAATATACATTGACAGCTGGAAATCCTGGGAGACGTCACTGACACCCGTTAGGACTGTTTCATGCGATTCAGATCCTGTGGTCAGTCCATTTATTGGAGAGGAAGTATGTATTCAGTATCTCTCACCTGATCTTTTAGATTGTAAGCCCTCAGGGGCAGGGCCCTCCTTAACATCTTGTCTTGATTTGTATTGTGATTGTAATGTCTTCCCTATATTGTAAAGTGCTGAGCAAATTGTTGGCGCTATATAAATCCTGTATAATAATAATAATAATGATGATGAAGGCTTGGAATACCTGAAACTGTTGTTCAGCGTACTTACCTATGTACTTTACTTTTCACTACAGCAGAAAATAAGTCCATTGTGTGGATTTACCATTTGGTTGGCATTCCTTTCCTTGGATACTATAAAAACATAGACAGAAATATACAGAAGGATGCAATTTGCTATGTATTCATTACGCAACAGTTATGTTATATGAAGATGGCTCAAGTAAATAGGATCATCTTATGAATGCTAAGTAGATCAAAGAAAAGTGTTTGACCAGAGAAATCTCCTGACAAAGCGCTCTAAACCCAGCCCTGTAACTAAGTGAGGAGTGTGTTTGTTATGCCAGGATACAGAGAGACTTGTCTGAGCAGTTATCGTTTCTTTCTATAGAGGCATCCTAAATGCCTCATTGTAGAATGTTTAAATAATTATGAATCATTTCTGTGCCCAAGGCCAGCAAAGCAATACTTGTTACATAAAGTAACTATTAGGGCTCATGTTGAACACAGGCACATTAGGGGCACACAACATAAATTCAGGCTTTTTTCTGTAACCTGGATAAAGAGGTAATGCGTCCACTATACAACCCCACCCATAGACTTGAATGGCTGTGTGCGGCTGTATACGACTGTACACGCAGAAACATACGTATAGCATACGGACATATTCTGTGAATACTGGGAAGATACCTGTATGTTATATGTGTGTTTATGCAAGTACAGGCATATACCGACATACAGCCACACACAGCCATTCATGTCTATGGGGGGCTATTCGCATGAGCTTTGTATTCTGGGCATGGAAGAAAGCCTGAATTTACAATGTAAATTACTATAAATTAAACACAAAAGTTA